GTTAATCTCTGGCCTAAGGTAATTAGTGGACACATTGCCACACATTACTAACACTCGGCATACCTGGCAGCTGAGGTACTTCCCTGATCTGACCTTTAAGGAGCTTCTCCTGACCTCCAAAGAAGGACATAGAATAAGGTTGAGATTCATCTCTAGGAGTGTGATTTCAGATCCATTTCCCCATATCCCCAAATTTTAATAGTCAGGAAACCCGTAGAACAATACATTACATTGAAGTTAATGTTGTATTATTTTATAGATGAAAAGAATTTAGGCCAGGCAGTGGTGGCACATGCTTTTAATCCCAGCACTCGGGAGGCAGAGGCAGGCTGATCTCTGTGAGTTTGAGGCCAGCCTGTTCTCCAAAGCGAGATCCTAGAAAGGCCCAAAGCTACACAGAGAAACCCTGTCTCGGGGAAAAAAAAAAAAAAACATAAAACAAAAAAAAAAAGAATTTAGAATAGTACTTGAGAGGGAAGACACTACCAAGAGCGATTGGTTGACAAGGTGATGATGTTTGAGTCAATGGGTGTCTCTTTATAAATCTGTGATAGGGAAACACATTTTGGGTACAGGAAAAAACAAGACCTCCTGCTTTTGGACAGATACGCTGCTGTTGAGCATGTCATGAATTACTTTCCCATTTCCCTGACTTATGCAAACCCCTGTGTCACAGAGTGGTTTCTTAGCATCTTCTTTATATTAATTTCCCAAGCACAGCAGGACAAGAATTGATTTTAGCCCACAGGTCCAGGTAATAGTCCATTTTGGGGGATATCAAGGCAGGAACTGTGTCAATCACATCCACAGTCAAGAGCAGAGAGATGGAAATGCAGCCATGCTGCCTCCTTGCCTCTGCATATGCTCCAGCTTCTTCACTGTTACACAGTTTAGGTCCCAGCAATGAAGTGGTTCTGCATACTTTAGGGTGAGATCTCCATCTGATTAACAATCTATAATCTCCAACAGATGTGCTCAAAGTCAACTTAATCTAAACAATTCCTCATTGAGGCTCTCTCTTCCCAGGAGACTCTAGTTTGTGTAAATATAAGAGTAATTAAAAATTAACACTCACATTGCCCCAGCATCATTGTTATGCTTCATGGTTATAGGAAACATGAAAGAAAAAATTTTGAATGAGGTAGCAACATTGAACAATCTCAGTAGACGTTTCAGCCATTTGGTGCCTTCCTACAAACCCAAATAACTCTGATTTCTATTTCTCTTGCTTGTTTTGTAGCCATTTTCTGTCAAGCCCTAGTTATTTACCCAGCTAGTCAAGAGACCTGATACTAGAAGAACTAAAGATTATACCACAGTGCTTCCCAGGTAAAAATCATTTGACCTGTTACTAAGTCTTGTGGAAGAAAGACATCAAATGAAAAATCACTGTTCCTGGTTATAGACTAGCAACTGTAGATATCCAGGGTGTTCAGGAACTTCCTGCCTCCTCCAGACTGATCAGAGCTTTCCCAAATCCTGTATTGAGGTGGAATTGTCCCCTGTGTAGACAAAGATGATAGTGCTGGTCAGAGGAGCAGAGTTATTACTCCAGTGGGTCAGAACAAGGTAAAATGTGCAAGGAGTCAGGTCCCTGCTGAGCAGAATGTCAGCTACTGTTTTCTCATGTCCAGAAGGGAAGCGTTAGGACTCCTTCTATCAGGAAAAGTTTTCTTACAATTTTTTCTTAAAATCTCAATGATGGAATGTTTACCTGGTGTCTCCTGAAATGAATTAGCCTCAGTGAGAGCTCTGCAAAATCCTTTGATATAGGCTTCCCAAAGTAAGGTCTGGTGTAGTGTTCATGACTGTGAGTAGTAGTCAGATTTAATAAAGTAGTGCACTCACTCTACCAATACCCTTGCTTGGTTATTGATCTTTTCATCTATCTCTTGATTAGTATCTGCAAATATTTTGCTGTAGTAGTATTTTTACAGATTATATACGCCATATTTGACACCTCTCTTTATATTCCAGTAACCATTCCTGGGATTGGTTATAAAAACTTACAAATGAACCTTAGCATGGCAAAACCACATCTTAGTGCTTCCAATTATAGGTGTGCCTTTTATTCCTCTTATCAAAATATATCTTTCATTGAGAAGGTTAGTGTTAACATGTAATAGAGTCAAGAAATAAAACATTATTCTTGATTCAGTGATATAAGTGTCCTTGTTTTCACCCCAAAATCTCAGTGATCAGAAAGCATCTTGATGTCTCTTGCTCCTAGTTAAAGATAGGTTTACTCTCCATCCCACATTCATGGGTTTGTTGTCTACATTCAGTTGTTTCATTATTAGGTGGTCTTGGAGATGCTATCCTGGTCAGATCGAAAGACATCTAGGACTTCATGAATTTCCCACAAAAATATAAACATATCCTTGCCTCAAGATTAGATTATCAGGCCCTCTCCATAGATTAGTTTGTTTATCTTTTGACTTAACATTTTCTTTAGTCTGTGTATACTTTAAGGCAAAATGCTTTAAGGGAAGCAGAAAACAATTATACTTTAAAGTGGAAAAATTAATGATTAACTTGGCTAAATGTGGTATTGTGTGTAGTTTTACCTATGTTCAGAAATATTGCCCTTTTGTTTTTGAAACTTGCCAATTTAATTATTAGACAGCATTTTACAACAGTTGGATCTTATGGCTAGTAAGGGATTTTAGTAACATGGTTAATATTCCATAAAGTGTAAAATTCTTGAAGGTGTTGGCTAGTATAAGCAGGACCATTACCAATTTTAAGTTGTAAAAGGAGTCCCAGCATGGACACTTATAAAGAGCTATTTGAAAAAGCCAAGTTTTAGATAAGACACAATTGTATTTTTGTGGAAATGCCCCGTGCTAAACACAGGTTGTGCTCTGCAATTGATTAGCTAGAGAGAGGCTTCATTGCATGCCTGTAGTGAGCCAATTCTGAGGATAGACATCTTGATACTTGACAGCTAAGAAAGAATAATTGTAGATGAAAACCATGAAATACACTAAGAGACACTGCCAGGCGCCACCATGACAAGCAGCATGTGAAGATGCTGGTAAGCCACGAGCCACATGGCAAGGTAAAGATTTATAGAAATGGAATAGTTTAAGATATAAGAACAGTTAGCAAGAAGCCTGGCATGGCCATACAGTTTGTAAGCAATATAAGTCTCTGTGTGTTTACTTGGTTGGGTCTGAGCGGCTGTGGGACTGGCGGTGATAGAGATCTGTCCTGACTGTGGGCCAGGCAGGAAAACTCTAGCTACAAACTGATGGAATATAGTAAGTTTTTACCTTTGATCTGTACAGTCAGGGGAAGGTACCATCCATTTTGAGGAGTGTGAAGAATTTGTGTATAAAATAAATGCTCCTCGTCTTTTTGAAGAACAATCTGTAAAATCACTAAGAGCAAACTCTACAGGATTTTTAGATGTAATTTTGGGTCATACCCATTGAGCATTTTCAGAAACTCTTAAAAGCTGATGTACTGGGTAGTGATTATTTATAGATCCCATGTAACATGCTAACGCAATCTGCCATGGTCATCAATTTAAATCAAATAAGCTGCATATTATCTACTGGCTGCAATTTCTGTTTTTTGCTCCATACCAGGAAGTTGTTTAAAAAGTGTCCTTTTCATTATCATTAAGTCTATCATTTCTTGATAATAAGGAGATGCAGGTACTTGTGGAGAATCATACCTCACATCAATGTCTATAATACTGTTACCTTCCGGATATATACTTTAATAGGAGATGAACACTCACTTTCTTTCCCTCATGGAAGTACTGAGGCATTTCCCAAAAATCAGACAGCAATCTCTGGCTATGGAACAAAAGGGTACTGAAGCATTTCTCTTGAGTCCCAGGAGAGATTCCTAGAATGGGAAACCTGACTTGTGAAGAGTTATGAGGAGATCTGGTTAGCAGGGAGGCAATGTCAGTTCCCCATGACATCAGGGGTGTCTCATGCCTGGACATTGTATTGTATCCTGGAGACTTTAGAATGTTATCTGATGTCACCTGTGTTGTAGCAACACCAACTGCCTTTGGACAGTTGGTTCAGTGCCCTTACAGTTCAGCCATGAACATGTTGGGAAGACTCAGGACTCTATTGGGTCGAGAGAAAGGAGAGGGAAGAGAAACCAGAGAGAGGCAAACACAAGCTGGAATTCAGCACCAATGTGAACGATCAAGAAAGAAATGGTCCAGAAGATGGTACAGTAAGTTGTGGGCAGGAAATTGGGATGTTCCTGCAGGACATGGGCTTGAGCTGAATCTTCCAGTAATGGGACACAGGAGGTAGGAGTCTCTGGGAACCAACTGGACTTTCCTGCTTGTCGTGGCTCCTGAAATTCAAGGATTCCAGAAGAGTAATTTGTCTGTCCCAGAAATCAGGAGCGAGTAAGGCCAAAGCTGTTGTGCTGGGAGATCTTGCCTTTCAATCCTACAGGAGGGTAGGGGTTGAGAGGGGACAAAAAGGACAGCATTAGGGTAGGAAGTTCAAGTGAGCTGTGCCCAGCAAAAAGCAGGTCATCAATATACTTCAACCTCAGTGTCTTCATTTATCTACAGCCAACCAGCTCTATGCACCCTCCTTTGTCACTGAGGTGTCTTGGTGAGGATGGTGACCATATTCTGCCCTTGTGTAGCTTCTCCATTTTTGCCATCTGCTCAGAGTGACCAGTCAGGATATTTTTGCATCTTTAAAGACCGGAAGGCTTGTGGACTGTGTCAATTTTATCTTGCATTTGAACCCTGCAGCCAAGTTAATTGCGGAGTGCAGAGCTGTTAATAAGCCTGAGGAGGCTCTCTCCTTAGTTACCTAAAACATGTGCTAAAGGAGCAGAGGAAATCAGCTGGCTGAGACACCTATCTCCTGTCACAGAGATGGGAGACCTAAGATGCCTAGCGGGGGCATCTCAGTCCAGGGCAAAATTCTTTGGGGTGTCACTGAATTGCTTGCTTACATCCTTTCTCAAACACCTTCTCAGGTCTCAGGGTGACCTGTTCATTCTCTATGTCTTGTCACAATGCACATTCACTTGTGTTCATTCATCTCCCCACAGGGGCCTCCAAGGAGCCAACACCCACTCCAACCAGCCTCACAAAGAAGCAAGTGAAGCAGAAGGTGGAGAGCCTGACCACTCAGCTCCAGGTGATGACCGCCCAACGCAATGATCTGAGAGATCGCCTCATCTTAGTAACCGAAGGATCCTTGGACAACAGGTATTTACTGTTTCAAACTCCATGGTGACTGTCTCGGTTCCACAATTTCACCCTTAGTTTATTTTGTCTAAGAAACAGGCTTCTGGGAGGTTGGGTGTCCCTTTACCCAACACCATTTCTCTAAATGCTTCCCTGAAGCAAAACCTGACATAATGGACAGGAGTGAGATGGGGACATAGACTTCTTCTGCTTCCTCCAAATGAATATCAGAGCCTGTGACCTGAATCACATAACTCAGGATTTGAGGCAGTAGTGTGTGAATTCCCAGCATGTATTTGGAGAGATCCTGTCAAGTGGTGGCTAGTGTGAGAATGCTGTTATTTTTTTTTACTTGCCTGGAAAGACATTGTGTGCTGGATGCTTCTAGTAGCAGCTGGAGAGTTTTTGTACCACATCTTAATATGTGACAGCAAGGCCTGGTACTGATGTCTGCTGCTCTTGGTCCTCTCTAAGATGACACAATTGCATGCATTAATTTGTCATCTCAATGAGAGCATTTTATCACCTTTCCCTCTCTCAGTTTCTCCCTCTGACTCTCTCTCTCTCTCTCTCTCTCTCTCTCTCTCTCTCTCTCTCTCTCTCTCTCCCTCTGTTTCTTTCTCTCTCTCTCCTCCAACTTTCTGTATCTATGTGTTTGTGTGTTTGTGCATATGTGTCCCTCTTCACCCTACAATCAAGGGTCTATGGTTGGACATGAAGTGTTGCTTGTCTCGGTATCTAGGTGTTGTCTACTTGGTGTACTGGGAGCCCCATTTTGAGTAGCATAGCCCTTTGTCAGTGTGTTCACCTTGGTGTCAACTGGGAATGCCCTCCGGGAATTTATGAAGCTGTCATAATATTGAGTCCCATCCTCTGAAATGCTCATGATGTGATTTTAGCCGCCATGGCAATGTAAGCACCCTGGAATGAGAATCTCTTACTTGAAGACAGCAGAAACATCACAGTTTCTGGTGGGCCCAGACCTGTGATAGACTCGTGGGAACTCCATAGCAAGCTGTGCAGGACTCCTGAGGGAGCATATTCAGTCCCAGCTGCATCCCTCTTAACACCCTGACTCTGCTGGCCTGGGACCAGAAGAGCAAGTGTAATAATCAGCCAGAGGTCCCAGTACATAGGAGCCATTTGTGGCATCTTATTAATTCCAGTAATATAGAACATACACTGAATTCATGTGAAACTTGAGGCCTGTATTCATGGAATTCTTTGCTTCTGGGCCCAGGCCCTACCACAGGCCAAATCCTTTCTGGGAAAAGCTCAAGATGGAACATCAGCAGGTCATGTCAGCCCTGCAGAAGTTTGAGAATGAGAATTTGGAGGCCTCACAGAAGCTCAGTGAGCTGACCAAAGGGAAAGTCTTCCTTTGGTAAGTGCTTATATTGGCAGGGACCCCAACTGTTGTACAGGAGCCAACTCCAATTTTCTTTGTGTTTGAACTGCAGGGTCTGCAGATGTGCTTCTAGTTGTTCTGCTTCTTAGCCAGCAGCATTAGCAAGCAGCCTTTGGACTTATGCCTCTTTACTTAGGTTTGCTAAGGTTTAAAGAGACTACTAGCTCTTCCAAGCACCATATTGTCATTCAGTAGCCTCCAGATCAGTGGTTATTAACCTTCCTAATGCTGTGATACTTTAATACATTGATTCATTGTTTTGATGACCCCAAACCATAAAATTATTTTGTAGAATTGTCTTAAGTTTATTTTGCCACTGTTAATAATTAATGTAGACATGTAAATGTCTACATAGGACATCTAATATGTGTCCCTTTTGAAAGGCTCCTTAGATCCCAAAGGGTTCACAACCCACATACTGAGAACCACTGGTTAGATGAGCAATTGTCCTCAGGAGAGGGTTGTCAGGCAGGAGCTGACTGATACAGGATCTATGCACCCTTTGGGTCTCCTACTTCCCCAAGTGTACTTGCACATTACCTTCTGGTGTTTCCTCTTGACAGTGGACTGATTCGGACAGGTGGAGTACTCCTCTTGTTTATGGAAGTGCATGAATTTCTGTTATTTGGGTGGGGGGGTTTCAGAAATAGTTTGATTCTTGCAGGAAATAACTGTTCTCTGTTTTTGGCCTTGAGTGCAACTGTCATTACTGTTAAAGGTTCTTGCTTACCTCTTCCTGTGAACCTGGCATAGGGTTGGGTTGTTGAAGCATGGTATTGTGGGTGACCAGAGGTGGCTGACATGGTCTTACTATTTGGAGTGTGTTTCCAGTGATCTGCAGAGCCGGCTCCTGATGGAGCAGAGTCAGCTCAAAAAGAAATTGGATATGCTGAGGCAAGAGAAGGAGAACATACTGGAGTTTTGGGTCATGGTGAAGCACCACCTGGGTGACTTGCAAGTGCTCAGTAAGGATCAAGAAGAGATCAGTGACCTCCAGAACCAGCAACAGCAGGTAGGGACAGGCAGCTGGGTCACAGTTAGGTCCAGCATCATTTACTTATGTAACCTTACCAAATCTAACCATCCAGACACCTGTGCTCTATCTCATCACTTTCCTCATTCATACACCCATCCATCCACCCACTTCATGTCATAAAATTGTTCATTCTGTGTCTGTGCATTAGTATTTCTGAGAAGTGAGTCTCCTCTGAGAATCTTGGTCATTGGCATGCAATCCCTGATACTCTTCTTGAACCTGTAGTCAATGGGGAGAAACAGGTCAATCACTCATCACACAGCTACATGTCATTATGATGGGAGGATTGCTATACATAGAATTGAGTTCAAGAGTAAAAATTTTTCTAACCATCTCCACTAGTTCAAGAGTATTCCCCCATAGGCGATTTTAGTTCCCAGGAATGGAAAGCTGAGTGTGGGGACTTTGCTTAAAGGCTGGTGTGCTTATTTTAAAGATAACTGCTCCTCTATCACTTCGTTGTTTTAGTTTCACCCCTTTCTCTGTCTCTCTCTGTCTCTCCGTGGTGTGTGTGTGTGTGTGTGTGTGTGTGTGTGTGTGTGTGTGTGTGTGTGTAATAGAGGCATGTGGGAGTGCAGTGTATATTTCATGTGGATGACATCTAGAGGAGACCACTGGGTTTCTCTCTTGGTCAGTCTCTGTCTTATGAACTTCAAGCAGGCTTTCTCATGTGCCCATGAGCTTGAATTTTCGTGAGATTGACTGACCAATAAGCTCTTGGAATTCTGTGTGTGTACTTGCACATGTGTGAGAATGCATTGACTATAGTATACTCAAACCTCCAATAAGGACACAATCTTGTAATGAACAGGAGCAGCAAAGAATGGAAGAGAGACTCCAGAGCTTGCTGAAGCAGAAGGAGCTGGTCACACAGCAAAAACACCTGGCAATAAAGCTGCAGCATCATTTGACTGTCTCCCAGATGAGGTAGGAACCCAGGCTGAGGTTGGAGTATGGAACAAATTGGGTCCCCTGTACCAGGGCTCTCTGTCCTTTGTGGGCTTTTGCTTATCAGCAAGACTCCCTGCTCCAAGCATGGGTAGACCAACTCAGAACTCAGAGTATTATCCTGGTCCCGTCAACAAGAACTCCTGTCCAGCAAACAATATGTTTGATACTCCCTGGGTCTGTACACTTGTGTCCCATTACTCCATTCTGATCTCTCTGGTATGTTCTCAGCAGGCTTTCCTTGAACTCACAGAGCTCTGACTGCTTTTGCCTCCCAAGTGATGGGATTTAAAGGTGTGCCTCACCATATCTGACTGAAATTACATTTTTATTCAGGATTAGCACCTGTGGGATGAGATTTGCTCCCTTGTCACCATTTGATGTCACACTGGCTGTCTTCACTGTTTGAGCATTTCCCATGTAAAGTGTACTGGGGATATAATACGTTTAGTCATTGGCAGGATGAACCCAGGTAGATGTCTCTGAACATTCACCGAGGGTTGTTGAACAGACTCCTCTAGAGTGCCAGGATGTAGATTCCCAGCTGTAGGCCTAAGGATAACACAGCTCTTCTTGTTTATTGCCAGAGACAATGCAGTGACAATGTTCTCAGACACATGGCTCAAGAAATACTGCTCTAGCATGACAGGCTCCATCTTGTGTATTACCTGGTTGCAAAGTTGTAAAAGTCTATGTATATAAAATGAGGTGGTCTTTTAAAAATTATTTTTTATTCATTTTACATACCAACTACAGATCCCACTTTCTTCCCTCCTCCCACTCCCCACTCACCTTCTTCCCTGACACTTCATCTTCTCCTCCAACAGGGTAAGATCTCCCATGGTAGGACAGTTAAGCCTGATACCTTCTGTTGAGGCAGGAGCAAACTCCTCCCCACTTCATCAAGCAAGAGCAAGGTGTCTGACCATAGGTAATGGGGTCAAGAAAGACAGCTCATGCACCAGGAATAGATCCTGATCACACTGCCAGGGGCCCCTCAATCACAACCAGCTCCACAACTGTGGCCCATATGCAGAAGGTCAAACTGTCAGTCTAAATTTCCTGAGTTCTTTTGAGCTTGGTTCAGTTGTTTCTGTAGATATCCTTATCATGATATTTACCACCCTTACTCATGAAATCCCTCTAAAAAAGAAAAGAAGGAACACAGCTTGGAATTTTAAGGTTTTCTCTATCAAACCTGTGATAGCATTGTACAACATGGAGAGGAAAATAAAATAATATCAATTAAAATCAGGAATAAGGACAGGTGTATGTGATTGTTCATGTCTTTAATCCAAGCTCTTTGGGAGCACAGGCAGGAAATCTCAGGCCTCTTGTAGCCATCCTAGAATATCTATTTAGTCAGCCAGAGATGCATATTGTAACACTGCCTAGACAGAAATAAACAGAAATTGGACAAGAAAAAAATGAGGTAGTTGATGAGAAACTCATCATGAACAGTCTGTGTATCTCCATTGTGCTATTATATATGACTTTAATATGCTACTCCTTTTATTTAAATGATGTCTCTATACTGTAGAAAAAAGTCCAGGTCTTTCTCATTAGAGCACAGTACATATAGTACTCATATCAACATCTGATACTTGTTAAGGGCAGAAAATAACTCAAGGCCCAACTATTCTGTGACACTTATTCCTTAGGTGTACATACAATGACTGCTGCCAAAGATCAGTGTTGACTGTCCAGCACAATTGAGTTTTTGTGATATCACTGAATGACAGGTGATGTGGTGGATCCCCACCAGGACTCTGCCCTTACTAACTTCCTCCTCTAGGTCAGAAAATCTCCAAAATGGGCTGGAACAATCCACAGCTCAGGATGAGAGCCTCCTGCCGACAGAGCTGCTGCAGCAGGAGCAATAAGTGTCATAAGCAAGTGAGCCATCATGACATCCCATTCCCAGCAACACGGCATTTGTGGGGTGGAGTTCTTCCTTGATTCTGCTTTCCTATGTGTGAATAGGCCCTGAATTTATCTAGCTAGTGACCTAGCAAGGCTGTTTTTAGATCTGATTGCCTTTTCCTCTCTCACAGCACCCTTTATGAGAACTGAGGAGGCTGAAGGAATCCATAGTCAACTAGAAACCCTGACATTCTCCACTCTATGATCAAGGCCTCCTCAGAACAAGACATGTACTACTAGTTGTGAAATCACCAGTGAGGCAAATATCATCTGCCCTGAAGATCATCCATCCATAATCTGATCCATGTGTCTATTGACTCACTAGTTATGGAATAAAGAAACCATCAAGAAGATGCTTGAGATTCAAAAAAATAAACACCAAGAGTTATGCAGAAAAAGCTGACATCTACCAGCAAGTGTTCCCAGTGAGGGCCACAACAACATGGAGACAGAATATGTTTCCACTCATAGTTACTCTGAAAGTTTATTGCTACAAACTTTTGGTAGCTGACTGAGTGTTGAGCCCTTCATATGTCGAGGGAGATATGTCAACAGAGACTGTGTTGCTGTCATTCTGCTATCCAGACAGACCACACAAAGGAAGCATCATATTCTCACTCCAGTCCAGTGCGGGAACTACTCAATTTCATGCACAGGTGATGGTGAAGTGAATTGTTCTGAGAGATGGTTTACGAAGGATGTCACCATGAGCTGTTATGTCTTTTGGTAACAGATGCTCCCCGTGTCATTTTTTGCTCTTGAATGGGCACACAGACACATGTTGGCAGACAGAATCATGTAATGGCCAACATGGCATAAGATCAACTTTGGCAAGGACTTAACCTAGACGCCCCAAAGTGGCATGACTACACTTGTCTTGAAGAGGTTATTTCAATTCAGGGTTGTCTTCCAACTTCTATCCAAAGCCAGCCACAGACTGCAGTATATCTGCATGAAGAGAAAGCTTCTTATGTAAATAGTTTTGGTTTGTTTTGGGGTTTGCATGAATTTAGGTTTTGTTGTTCTTTGTTTTGTTTTGCTGTTTTTTTAAATTTTTTGGTGCTTTGTTCTTTCTTTGATTTTATATTTTGCTAAAGCTATACATTGGATATACTAAACACCCCTTTAAGGCCCTATTCAGTCAAATTTCTCTAATTTCACAAATAAAAATGATTTCCAACTCTTCATTCTTTCCTTTAAATTTTTTACTGAATTTACTTACCAACCACAGATCCAACTCTCATCCCTCCTCCCTCTCCTGCCTGCCACATTTCCCCCACACCTCCTGCCTTCCTCCAACCGGGTAAGTTCTCCCATAGGGGACAGATAAACCTCGTACATTCTCTTCATTCCAAAAGTAGCTTTGTAGTCAGGTGTGGTGTCACACTCCTGTAACATTAGAACTCAACAGACAGAGGTGGATCTCTCAAAGTCCCAGGAAACTTAGGCTACATTGTGAGTTCTCAGGTAGACAGGGTTACAAACCAAGATGGTATCTTGGGTGTGAATCACATGGCCTACTCCATGAATATCTACTTCATGATGGAAAAAGATCCATATAAAACACCTGACTTCACATGTCTAGCTACTTCAAAAAACGGAGAATAGATACACACATGTTCATGACGTGATCATTCATATCAGATTTTTCAGAAATACACCTATGTTTTCTAATGCATCTCAGGAAGTGAGAACATTTGTTACAGGAGTGTAGAAGAAATGAGGAAACCTATAGATATCTGCCTTCCTTTTCCTGAAATACAGCACCAGTGACAGTGGCAATGCAGGGGTAGTAACCTTCTAGACATATTGAGATGTGGTCTTTTGAATGTGCTCTTGCCTTGACCATTCATTTTGCATGGAAATCTTTGAGATTCATTTACTTGTACTTATGTATATGGGTATTTTGTCTGTTTTCTATGCACCACAAGCAATCAGTTTGCACTGAAGCCAGAAAGGGCAATGGATTCCACACGGAACTGGAGTCACAGAAGTTTATTAGCTGATTTCTGGGTCCTCTGGGAGAGCTACACATCCTCTTAAAGGATGAGTAATCTCTCCAGTCCCTGCACTTGACTTTTGTCCTTCTAGCCTCTCTAGTGTATTAGTTGGACTGGATTACACCTAACCAAAGAGAGATATTTCTGGAGAATTGTAGGGACAGGACCATGAGGTAGGCATGGGAGATTACTTGGGATGCCAGGCATTCAAGCAGAGTGCTCCTGGGTTCAGGATCATCGCTCAGCATCTCTTAAGTCTGAGTTGGAGCAGAATATGTCACCTCTCATTTAGATGACAATGCAGAGTAGGCCCATCAGATGAAATGCAGACTTTTAAGACCCGCCTGGGGATGGAGATGGGGTAAGATATACCTGTGATGCACCAGCTAAGCAGTGTTAAGTGGAAACTTCACATTTGTCTGGGTGGATGGTATCTGCAGCAAAAGCCACATGCCTCTGGCGGAGAGTGTGTCTCTGCAAGGTTTGAAAGGGAGAGGGATGGTTGATGCTACACTTTCGCCACAGCAGAAGTCACAGTGTATTGAGGAAAGGTTTCTTTCAGATGTGGGCTTTATTCTTCTGAAGTTCTCCTGGAATGGATCTGACCTGAGACTCACAGTAAGTCAGAGAGTTAATGTGTGAAGCAATTATCCTTGTAAATTCAAGTCTGTGTCTCTCAAACCATAGCTTTTAAGATCTCTAAAGCCAGAGAAGCAGGTGGTTCACTTTAGTTCCTTCCTTTCATTTGTCACTTTCTCATTCTTCACTGACTCTGACATAATACCTGTAGACACACTGGAACCAGCTGAGACTTCATTCATCCTACATTATCAGTCACTGAACTGCAGCATGTGTTTCCCTGTCCATCTTTCCATTATTGGGAAGGAGCCTATGTTCAGTCATGCCTTACTTCCATGTGAATCCTCAGTATAGCTTTGTTTCTTTTAATAAATGCTACAGATAGATTAACACAGTTTCTTCTCCTTGTGTTTGTGGAGGGAGATAACAGTTTACTTTCTCAGACTAAACTGTGTAGAGTGTGTAATGTGGACTGGGGTGTTTCTTCTATGTCAGATAAACATGCCTAGTCTTCAATGCATTCTGTCAGTTACTCACATGGTCATTCTTATGAGGGCTAAATTAACAGTTAAAGCCCATCTTGATGTCTGCCCTGTAGTAGCTGTAGCAGATGAATGGAGTTACAAGCCAGGAATACAACTTGGAGACAGAATACTTCCCTAGCATGTGCAATATGTTAGGTTCAAAATTAGTACATTATTTATGACGGGGATGGAAAATTCACCCTGTTACATCCTATGAAGTGAAATACATCAAACTCTTAGTTATCGTAGAAGCTTTAAAATTCTCCCAACTCCAATTCTTGCCCTTCGTTAACTGTGACAAACATTCATTTTGAGGATAAATATTTCCAAAGTAGGATAGATATACACAGAGATCATATACAGAGATATGTAGCTTATTAAAATCTGTGGCTTTGATGATGGACTGGAAAATGTCTAAGCAGGTAAAGGTAATGCAGACAAGCCTGGAGACATGCATTTCTATCCCTGGGACCCACCTTATTGATAGAAAGAATAAAAAAAATATCTACCAGAAATTGTTCTCTGAGTTGCATGTAGTTGGGGGTGCCAGGTCTTGACCCACTGAAACTAAGACAACTGTCTTCCCATTTCTCATTTATGCTAGAATATCTCCATCTGATGCACTCATATCAATATATTACTACATGTTCATTCGAGTGATTTTGGACTTTTTCTTATTTTAGTTTGGCAACAAGGAACCATAGAAATATATATCAAATCATTATGAGAAAAACAGATTAAGAGAATGTGGTCATCTTGAATTTGTAGATTTGCTAACCTTTGTTACTCCCCAAATGCCTCAACACATCTTCTAGAGATGCCTCACTAACATTTATGGTCTTTTTCTTATTCTCTCCAAGAGCCCATACATTGTTGTGAATGTCAAGACAGTCTATATGGCTTGCCCGTGCCTCACTGATGCTAACAGACTCCTCTAATGAGGATGACATGTTCTGAATGATTCAAATTTGGTCCAGGTCACTATCATTGCCTTCTGTTGTCATCCATATTCCTCTTAGCTGTGAGCAGTCTATACACCACCCAGAGCCAAGGAATCCACAGAACTCCTGAGTATGACCCTGGGATGAACATGGTGAGAGTAGAGAACTAATGGCTGCAACTTGTCCAATGACCCACAACCATGCTCTGGCACATGTGTGCAAACACACATATAAATATACAGATGAATAAATGTATTCAAGTTTTGAGAACAGAATTCCATACCTGGCAACTCTCAACCTAGTCTTGTCAAGTGACACAGACATTTATGGGGAAATGATGAAGAAAAACCATGTTTCTGTCGAGATTTCTAAACAAATGTTGGAAGAAAGAACACGAGGTTGCCAGAATGTTGCTGGGGGAGACCACAAAGGCTTTGGATGTTCTGGAAGGTTTGTTTCACATACAGGAAAGATGAAGACTTGGATCTGTGCATGTCAATAAGCACACGCGCACACACACACACACACACACACACACACACACACACACATCTCTGATGTTTTCTAAATGGATAGAGTGCTGTGGGATGGTCTGTATGTCAAATGTGTTGCTGATTGGTCAATGAATAAATCAGTGATTGGCAGTGGCCAGGCAGGAAGTATAGGCGGGACTAACAGAGAGAAAAATTGAGAGAACAGGAAGCTGGGAGGGGAGACACTGCGAGCCGCCATGAGGACAAGGAAGATGTAAAGTACCGGTAAGCCACAAGCCACGTGGCAAGGTATAGATTAATAGAAATGGATTAATTTAAGCTGTAAGAACAGTTAGCAAGAAGCCTGCCACGGCCATACAGTTTGTAACCAATATAAGTCTCTGTGTTTACTTGATCGGGTTTGAGCGGCTTGGGACTGGCGGGTGAGAGATTTGTCCTGACTGTGGGCCAGTCAGGAAAACTTTAGCAACATAGAGACCCTCAGTGAGGAAACATTGACAATGTTGTGACAGTAGAGGGGAGACAATGTCTTTCCCCCTTTCTTCCCTACTGTCTCTGTCACATTCCACTACCATTTAGCACTATTGCATTCTATTTATTTTATTGTTAGCTGTTAACAATCTCTTTTTCTTCTCTTAATATTTTCATTCAGCTGACAATTATGGAGGTTATAAGTGTCAGCAGGCACAAAGGGTAATACTGAAGGGAACATCCAATAAAGATGAGCTACCAGGCATGGTCGTGTGGTGACATGCCACTGATCTCAGCACCAGACAAGTAGTAACAGAAAAATCAGGAGTCTTGGGCAAGCTTGGGCTACAAGAGACCCTCCCTAAGGCAATCCCTAAGACAATAAAATAAATAAAAATGAAGAACAGCCTGTCTTCACAGTGGAGAGAGAGCTGACAGAGCAATATGTGGAAACATGGCCTGACTTGACCCTGTGTGCTGTCTGGTTCTGTCTCCCAGAACATGTAGCATTTGGGGAGTTGAAGTCTCTTATTTGATAGACCAGCCTGGAGATCCTGCAGCAGGCAGAACCCTCCCTAGCCACACAACAGAGCCAAGGCCTTGGAGACAATTGCTGGGCCTTTGGACATGAAAGCATTAGGTATGAGTCAGGGATGCTCTCCAACCTTACATACAGTCATAAGCATCTTGGATACTTCCTACAGGAGATTCATGTGGGCCTGGCTCACTGGAGTCTTACTGATAAAGTGAACAGTGTGCCGAGAAGGCTTATTATATTATTGGCCTGGCCAAAGTGTCTAGGCCAAAGTTCAGGAATCTGCATGTCACCAAGACCATCATTGGCAGTAGTTATCAACCTTCTGAATGCTGTGACAGTCTTGGGTAGACGTCATTCCAGGGAGAGAGAAGCTGCCTGCATGAATAAAGGAAGCTTAGACAGCAGGTTCAGTTCACAATCCTTGAAACCAGAGAAATCAAATGCCATGGGATGACAGCACTGTTTTCCCAAGCAATTGCTATTAGATTGTTGTTGGAAAGCTCCCAGGGTCACTCATGTCTGTGTGTGTGTGCCTGCTCTGAGACCTCTTGCTTTTCCTCATAGGGATGACCTGAAACAGTCAGAATTTCCCACAAACATTATGAGCTTCTTTTTCTTTCTGATCAGTAGAGAGGAGTGCCAGGACCAAGACTTGTTGTGTAGAGACCTCTGGAGAAGCTCACTTGTAGAAACCAACCCTGGCCCTGAAACCAGAGCCAGTGAAAGAAACATACCCTGGCCCTGAAACCCAAGCCAGTGAAAGAATCACTTTAGTCCTGAAACCAGAACCAAGGAAACACAACCTGACCCTGAAACCACAGCCAAAGAAACACACTTTGTCCCTGGAACCAGAGCCAGTCAAAGAAATACACCCTGGCCCTGAAATTAGAGCCAAAAGTCTAAAAAGGGTCAGTGAAAGAAACACACTTTGGCCCTGAAACCAGAGCCAACTCTGTCCTTGACCAACTAAAGCAACCAATTGCTGAGCAGGAAAACCAACCAATCCCTGAGCAGAAATATCTTCTCCCTGAAAAAAACTCCATCCCTAAGCACCTATGTCTGTTCATTTATCAGCTGAGGCAGCTCTTCTCTTGGATTCCACCTTCAAAAATAAATCTCTTTCTTAAAAGATTTTTAGGTGAAGGTAGATCTTTCACTTGCTGGGAAGCTCCTTTGGGAGCAGAGCAGTGCAGAAGAAGAAACAGATACTTCTGCTGGGAAGCTCCCTTGGTAGTGGGCAGAATTAACAACTTTATGTCAGAGCCTGAGCATATTGCTACATTTCTGGGAGGGGTTCTTCTTTTGCAGAGCAAACCAGAAGAAGTAACACCTTGGGCTAGAGATGAAAACAAAAGGGTATCTCTGCTGGGACATTTCCATAGGGGTGTAGAAGTAACCAACCGTCTTATTAAATAAGAAACACAGCGCCAATACAGAGATAAAAGCCAAGAGGTCAGAGCAATAGCTAAGAGCTAAACACCTTACCCTTCACTATCGTGGTGGTCCGACCTCACCGAAAGAGACCCACTTCCTGTTTCTGTCTTTTATTTTTTTATAGAGTTTCTGTTCAGCCTCCTCATTGGATGTAAAACCAACCACATGAGCTCCTAGTCACTGCCTGTCTGTACAGACCTCCAGGTCTTCTATGGTTGGTATTGAGATTAAAGGTGTGTGTCTCCAATGCTGGCTGTATCCTTGAACACACAGAGATCTACCTAGCTCTGCCTACCAAGTCCTGGGATTAAAGGCATGCACCACAACCGCCCAGCTTCTGCGATGGCTTGCTATTAGTTCTGACCCCCAGGCAACTTTATTTATTAACATACAAATAAAATCAAATTTCAGTACAAATAAAATATCACCATATAGGGGAGCAGAGCAGCAGAAGAAAAGGATACCTCTGCTGGGAAGCTCTCTTGAGGGGGAAGGGGCAGAGCAGAACTGATCTGTAATGACTCTCTCTCAGAGGGAAGTAACATTGCTACATCCTATCTGGAGACCATCTCCCACTGCATCCCAGCTTCAATTATACCTTGACTTTCCAACAAGTCAGTGTACTTTCTCCTCACAGCTGTAGGTATCCAGGATTCCTCCCTTCACAGCTGTAAGTATAGCCTTACTACAAGTCAGGATACCATTTCCTCCAGAGCTGTAACAATTGCTGGTATGGCCTGACTTCCTGACAAGTCAGGATACCACTCCTTCCAGAGCTATAACACTTGCAGGCACAGCCTGACTACCCTACAAGTCAGGATACCTTTCCCTCCAGAGCTGTAACAATTGCACCACCTTCAATAGTAAGCATATTACCTGCCTGGAGGCCAGGTTCCTTGAAGTAATAAAAAGGAAAGTAACCAGATCTCTGGAATGCTCAAAGTAAGAGGAAGTGTATTATATGGCAGGTGAACATAGATTAGAGGGTACCAGGAAGTGGGGAAGTACCGGGTGGCTCCCAAAAAATCCAAGGCATCTTTCTCCTACAGGATTTGTGTTCAGGATTATCATTCTATTTTATGCATAAGACATCTGAGCCATCCAGGGATGCCTAGTGACTTATGCTGAGGATGAGATCTATCTCACATTGGGAACAGGGATATTGTGATGGTTTAAATAAGAATGGTCCCCATAGGCTCCCATATCTGAATGCTTAGTCATCAGGGAGTGGCATCATTTGAGAAGGATTAGGATGTGTGGCATTTTTGGAGGAAGTGTGTCACTGGGGGTTGGGGTTTGAGGTTTCAGAAGCCAGGGGTGGCCCAGTTCTCTCTTGGCAGATCAGGACGTAGCTCTCAGCTACTGCTGCAGCAGCACTGGTGCCACCATGATGGTAATGGAGTAAATCTCTGAATCTGTAAGCAAGCCCACAATTAAATCTTTCATCAGAGTTGACTTGGTCATGATGTCTCTTCACAGCAAGAGGACAGGGACTTAGACCTTTAGCAGAATCTTCTAGCCATATTTCTGTGCTTTGGTCTGTGGGGAAGAGGACGGCAGCTGCTATCTTGCACACCAGTGCTGGCAGATCTGAGTCCAGCATAATTATTGGTGCTATGGCAAGCTCCCACCTGCCACCAGTTTCAGGGGCATCAGAGAGAGTTTGTAAAGCTCCCTCTGGCTGCTTTATAAAACTGGAGAAGTAGTTCCCTCTTCATTGACAAGTTACTTTTGTGGAGGTGGCAGGGGATTGGGAAAATAAAGAAGATTATAGCTGGAGCCATTAGGACCACTTCTAGTACCTGGATGCTGTGCTGGAGAAGACACAGTCTTGCCTGATGCCCATTCTCTACCTGAAAGGCATCATGGGCCTCAGGAGTGCTCAGAGGGCACAGGTGAGCAGCAGTCCCAGCAGCCCCTGTAGCCTTCCTGCCCTCCATCTCATTTCAGCTCACTGAGGGGGCAGGATCTTGTTGAACCCAGTGCTCCATCTGTGTCTAGCTGGTGACACTTTCTCTCTTATCCTTCTGCTATGATAATGGAGAGGCTCCTGGAAAGGGCACCTTGGCTGCAGGTCAGTTTGGTGTGAGATAGTTAGCAGGGAGGTGAGGACTGTAAGGTGTGACATTAGCAATTACTTCCCCAGAAAGTCTCTTGTATCTTGGAGAGCTCTGGCATCATCTCTGATATTTCCAGTGTTGTGGAGATATCAATGACCCTTGGGGCATTTGTCCAGTGCCTATGTGTTTCAACCAAAGACATGTTGAAAAGACTGAGCAGGATACTAGAGAGAGAGAATGGAAAGCACAGAGATACCAGAGAGACACCAAAGGAAGGTGGGCTTTGGCCTCAGTGTAAAACAGCAAGAAATCAATGTTCCAGGGGAAGGCAATGTGATTCCTCGACAGGGGGTTGGGAGCTTCCTGGAGGAGTTGGACTTGACATGGACCTCCCAGGAAGAGGGCTCAGCAGCTCCTCTGGGAAGCAATGGGCCTATCCTTCTTTGGGTTCCCAAAGAGTAGACCCAGAGTCAAGGATTTCTGATGTTTGTTTGGCAGAGCCAGGAGCTTACAGACTGCTCTGCTGGAGGTCTTCTGCTTTCCCTCTGAGTGAGGAAGGAGTCAGGGGAGCTATTTTAGTACCATCACTGCTCTTCATCCCCACTCCATTCCTTTAGGAATTGTTGCACTAAAAACAGGGAGAGGAAACTGCCCTGGCAAAGCCTGAGGTTCTCATACTTCACATCACAACCACTAGCAGGGCAGGAGTCACCAAGCATTGCTGTCTGCCAGGGAGTCCTAAGGTGTCTGAGATCCCAGCTGCATGGGTGGCACCCAGATCTCCAGTGTAGCCTGAGAGCTTTTAGAGGCAGTGTATGAGGACAGAGACAGTCCGTTTCCTGACAGCACAGGGTGAGGAAGTGTTGGTGAATCTGATGACTAAGTTTTGTCCTGCATGACATTTCCATCAATATGTAGGTCTGAAGCATCCAGGAAGTGACTTGGACACCCGCCCCCCATTCCCTAAGTGCTTGTGGATAGTACCAGTTTTCTTCTGGCTCTGACAAAAGAGGACTGAAGACTCTGAAGCCAAGTCGCATTCTGTGCAACTGTGAATCAGCCCAAGGAGATTGTCTTGTGCAGGGAGGCAGAAGAAGTAGCTGAAACCTGAGTCACCCCCTACCTATAAAGGGGTGGGTGAATTGATAGCCATGGAGTGGGGTGAGACTCCACTGGGCTTTCAGATCCTGCTAGGGCAGAGTCTCATCTGCCAGTCACTTTCTGAATGTGTATGCTTCTGTGTGTCATGTTTGCCTGAGATGAAGCAGTGTGTAGGGCATGTCCTGTCCCTTGGCTTCTGGAATCAGGTATTCCTGAGATAGCTAACCTTGGCTACTATCATGGCTTGTCAGCATAATACACCATCTAAAAGGACACAGTACACCTCATGTCACTCATTTGTTCTGGGGTCAAACAAGTACACTTTCTAACCTCATTTCCTAGAAACTTTTATTTCTCAACTAATTGATTAGAGATCTTAGGAAGGGAAGAGCCATTCCCTGGGCTGTTTTTGAAAAGTGAGTCTTGAACTCTCTACAAATAAGGAATGAAAAGGTTCTAATGAGGCAGAGAGAGACCTCTGGTTTTGTAAGGAGGAGGTGCAGAATGGCATCCCCTGTGTCCATGGGAATGCTCCTGGAAAGGGCAACTATTGGTTAATTAGGGAAGAGCTCAGTGGCACGTAGGTGAAGTCTGTTGGCAGTGACCCTAACAGTACCTTCCCTGAACATTCTATTCTACCCTGGAGAGCCCTGAGCATCCTCTTTGATGTCACCACTGTTGAGGCAACCCCAACTGCCATTTAGGGCATTTGTACAGTTCCTCTGGGATTCACAAAGACATGTTGGTGAGACTGAGAAAGCTACTTGGGAGAGAGAATGGACAGACTAGAGAAGAGAGAGAGGCAGAAGGAAGCTGGCCAACTGTCTCAGGGTAAAACATCAAGAAATAAATGTTCCAGGGGAAGGTTCAGTGAGTCTTGTGCAGGGAATGGGGAGCTTCCTGGAGGAGGAAGGCCTTGAGCTGGGCCTTCCAGGAATGGGGCTCAGCAGCTGGGAGACTTTGGAAAACAATGGGGCTATGCTGCTTCTCTAGGTTCCTAAAGAGCAGACACAGAAAAGGATTTCTGGGGTTAGTTTGGCAGAGATCTAGAAATTATCAAGTCTGCAGCTACTGTGCCTGGGGACCTCCTTAATTTCATTCAGAGTGTAAACAGGGCAGCAAGAGGCACAGAATGATAGATGAGGAATCTCTGTCAGGATAGAGTGTTACTGAACTTCACCCTCAGCAGATTCCTTTATGTTCCATGGATATCTAATTATAATAACAGGTATATTAACTCCCTTGGGCATTCACCAAGGTTCCAGCCATTCAGTTCCTCTTGGTACTAGACACAGATGGTCAAGGCTTGGTGCTGCTAAGCACTATGGACTCCAGGACTTTCCTGCACCACATCAGATATGAGCTGAGGTTGTACTTCAAACCAGCATGGCTTCCAGGGCCCATGGGACTGCAGTGGGTGTTGAGGCACATATCTAACCATTGTGGTGGGGGACCCAGATGTGGCTTATGTGCCCCAGCTTGAAGATAGCTGCCCTGTTCTTTCAGAGCTACTAAGGTTCCAAGCACTTCTTCTTCCCCAGGCCTCTACTTGGGACTTATTGTAAGTATTACAGCTTTAGGGGGAATGGCTTCCCCAACAGAAGTGTTACAGCTCTGCCCCAGCAGGCAAGGTTTCCCCAGTGCAAATTTAACAGCTCTGCTCTGGTAGGGGGAGGTTTCCCAATGCAAGTGTTACAGCTCTACTCTGAAAAGTATCCTGGAAATCAGGAGACAAGAAATTCCACAAAGTCACACCAAACAACATAACTCACACAAGATACTTATTGAGATGGAAACCCCAAGAAGGTGGCTCCTCTGCTTTGGTGAAAAGCCACAAGGAACTGAGCATAAGGCAGTCTATACAAGGGGTTTCTTGGGGGTGTGGAGCTTTCCAGTTTGACCTGGGATTGATGAGACTTTTGTGAACTGATTTGGGGGCAAGCTCAGAGATTGATAGGATTCTTTTTCCTGGCCCAGGTCAGGGTCAAAATGTTCTTTCCTTGGCCCTGGTCTCAGAGGCTTCATGGTCAAGTTCTTTCCTTGGCCTTTTTACCCTAAACTTAGCACTACCTCTCCTGGCCCTATGATATTCAATTATGTAAATATAGTTTTTTAATCTACCTCCACGAATGACTGGGAAGGCATCATTTCTACTCTCCACTCACTGAGCAGGATCTGGACATGAACAAGGTGGAGAAACTGACCATTCAGCACTTGTCATGAGGAAGAGAACACATTGGGATTCAGGAAGAAAGGAGAAGACCACATGCCACCCAAAACGTTGACAATGAGAACCACTCACTTGGCACTGGCACTGGGCTCTAGTCCTTGAAGGCTGCTTCCTCCCTGTGATCTCACAAGACCCCTGCAAAGCAAATGAGCCACAGACCACTGACATCATCAATGAAAGCTTTGTGTTGTTCCCAAGTACCTCCCTGCATAGCAGCCCTCTGATCATAATGACATGTAGGTGTGTGATATGTGACTGACCCAGCTCTCTGAATGTACTGCAGCTTCTAGGAGAACAAGAGGGTTTGCTTGACAATTATCCAGTTTCTTGCAAGAGGCTAACTCGCCAGAAAGACTTGGGAGTGATCACAGAAATCAACAATTAGATGGTATGTAGGTGGGAGTCTGGATGGATGGGTGGATGGTTATTTGTGTGTCTATATGTTTATGGTTGGAAGGTGGGCACCTGCCTCCGCTGTCTCAGCCTACCTGCTGCTGCTCAGCAGAAGGGTCACAGATCATCTCATGGGCCTCCTTCAAGAGCCTCTTCAGCTCCTCACAGGACTCTTGCAGTTCAATCTGCTCCTTCCACAGCAGTCTGTTCTTCAGTCTCAACACATGTACACTCTCCTTCCGCTGAGTTCAATCTCGAAGGACCTGGCTGTGGAGGTAACTGAACAACCGCCAAAACATGGTGAGCCCCAGCCAGTCTCCTTTGCCCAAGTACCACCAGGGCTGAAAAGTCCCAGACTCCCAGACAGCCCAAGAATGGAGCTCTCAGTAGCCAAGCCAGCATCACTTAGATGCAGGCCAAATCCAGAGAGTAACCAAATTCCATAAAGATTCAAAGTACTTCTGAAAACCCTGATGCCAAAAGGGATCCTGTCCCCCTGAGAAGAGGGTGCAGCCCACACCTGTGTTTAACTGTCCATGATACTGGGAAAGCAGGAGCAGGTAGAGGGAAAACACTCTCGGAAGGAGGGAAAAAGTCCCAACCAGAATCAATTCTGTCTATGGCTACCATGGAAAGCAGCTCTGTGAAGCCCTGGTCAGAGCCCCAGAGGTACTAGGATACCTGACACTCTCTTCATGGCACAAAACATTTTTCTATCAAGGGTCTCCCGAATATGGCAGGACATTGCTTGGAGGGGCTCAGTGTCTTTTCACACTTAGCAAAACTGAGTCCAAGGGGCACAAGGCCAAGGACAACATGTCAGACTGCTTGCTAAGAGGCAGACAGGCAAGAACCAGAGCCCTCACTAGGGTGAAAGAGAAAGACGGCAGAATCAGTCCCCCAAGATAAATCCGGCACATACCTGTAAGATACATTCTCCTCAATCAGCTGTTTGACCTTGTTCACACCGTCACTGATCTCCATGAGCAATTTCTGCAAGTCCAACATCACCTGCTTATGCTCCTTTTTCAGCATCTCAAAAGAATTCAGCCTGTGGTAGGTCATGGTCCCAGGAGAAAAGGACCCCATGAACACAGGCCACAAGGATCATGTGGAATCAGGCTATGTTCTGGACTCCTCAGCCCCATGGAAGCCACAGCCTGACACTTACACACTGGGACCTCCTGGTGCTTACTAAACTTCCTATCATGTCCTCAGGCCAGAAGAAGAAGGTTGTCCAAGGGACTTATCCAGGATGCATGAGCACCCTCAGTGGACTTGGAGCTATAGATTATCTCTCTAAGAAGATCCTGGGAGTCTGTGCCACATATCTGGTGCCATGGAAAACCTATGGTGACATTTTTCCTGTCTTTACCACAGGGATTCCCATGCCTGGGTACTCCTCCTTATACACAGAGGACCAGAGCATACATTGAGTATTTCCAGGGAGGAGTCCCAACTTCAGGAAGGCTTTATAAACTCCACAGGGCCGGGTAGTGGTGGCGCACGCCTTTAATCCCAGCACTCGGGAGGCAGAGGCAGGAGGATCTCTGTGAGTTCAAGGCCAGCCTGGGCTACAGAGTGAGTTCCAGGACAGGCTCCAAAGCTACACAGAGAAACCCTGTCTCGAAAAACCAAAAAAAAAAAAAAAAAAAAAAAACCCTCCACAGGGGATTCCAATGTTCCATCAAAGTGAGAACAGTGGCCAAGCTTCTCAAAGTGGAGCTCCCTGGTGTCATCACTGGCATCCCCTGGAAAATGTGAAAATGGCAAATCCTCAGGCCCTGCCACAGACCCTAGACCTCCAGTACACACACGCACCCTCATGCCTTTTAAAACACAAACACACACACACACACATACAAACACACACATGCACATACACGCACATGCACACACACACACTACATATACTCAGAATGCACATGAAATGAAGGGAGTTTGCACTGTCTCAGAGTATAAGAAGAAGCTGAGAAAAGCCTCAGGCTATTACTTCCTATACACACAAACACACCACATACAGTCAGGATGCCCATGAAATGCTGAGAGGTGGAACTGCCTCCGAGTATAAGGAGGAGGACAAGGGAGAAGCAGTGAAAAGCATCAGACCTTATAGCCACAAACTGAGATGGATGAATGGGACCAGGCCCCTCCAGCTGCTGCCAGGAGCCTTCAGCACACAATCATCTGCTGGTCAAGTACAAAGACTCACCACAAACTCACAGAACCTAGCATCTCCCAGAAGCCAACACCTGCCAAGGCCTCTTGAAATGCATGTTGAGAGCTCACACACTAATGTCCCTATCCCCAGACTGTAATTCAGGCTACAGGCTCTGCTTTTCATTTGGATTAATTGAATGGCCTGTGTCTCTATCTCACACCTACCCAGGTTCCAAATTCTGCCTCACCAGTGTACTCAGGAAAATTAGTTTAGGCACCAGGACACCCTGGAGGTTCAGCCTCCTGTTCCTCAGGAAAGCTTAGCTATACACTTTGGGGTCAAGATGGTCAGCAGAGAAGTGCACATAATGACTACCTGTTCTGCAATTCCTTGTCTGTATAACTGGCCAGGATTCCATGCAGTTCAATTAGCTCCTATGTTATACTCTGTAGGTGAAGGGTAAGTTTCTCCAACTTTGTCATCTGCTGCTCCTGCTCAGTGGAGGTGGATGTTTGGGTTGGTGTCTTCCCAGTAGTCCCTGCAGGAAGATAAAGGAAAGTGAACTTGTACACTTGAATGGCATAGGGCCAGGAGAATCCATGCTAGTCCCAAGAGGAAGCCCCGGGAAGAGGAAATTCTAGGGACCCACTGAGGGCCCCAAAGAGTAGGGCAGCTATCCTCAAATTGGTTCCATGAGTTATGTATCTGTCCTCAACCACCATGGCTGGGCATTTGTCTCCCTCTCTAATGCAGTTGCCCAGCCCTGGAAGGCATAAGATAGCCCAGTCATGTAGATTTGAAGGACAGTGTCACCTCATATCTGATGTGGTCCAAGCAAGTCTTATTGTCCCTACAGCTTAGCAGTACTAAGTCCTCATCACATGTGTCCAGGACCAAAGTATCTGAATGTCTGAGACTTTGGTTGATGGTCAGGGGAGTTTCCCTCCCTTCTTATTAGCATCAGATTCCCATGGAAATTGATGGAATCCACTAGGATGAAGTGCAGCAACACCCTACCCAGAGAAGATCACCTAATTAGTTACCACTTTGCCCCTGCTATCCCTCCTTTCCACTCAGAATGAGATTAAGGATCTCACAGAAAAGCCACTTCAGGTTTGAAAATTCATGGCTCTCCCAAACTAACCATCAGACATTGTTAACTCTGGGTCTGCTCTTAGGAAACCCAGAGAAGCAGGATAAGTCCATTGCTTCCCAGAAATTCACAGATGCTGAGCCCCACTACTGGAAGGCCCAGCTCAAGCTTCACTTCCTCCAGAAAGCTCCCACCTAGGAATCACTGTGCCCTCCCCAGAACCATTTATTTCTCCATGTTTTACAGTGAGACTGAAGCCAGCTTCCTTCCACCTCTCTCTGGTCTCCCCATGTTCTCCATTCTCTGTTCCAAGCAACCTTCTCAGTCTTGCCAACATGTCTATGGGCAGTGAAGGAATACCCCACAGTCACCTGGTGTTCCCACAGCACTGGTGACATCAAGAGAATGCCAAGAAATCCCCAGATTATAATAGCTCGTCATGAGAAGGAACTATTGGGTTCACCAGCAGTATCCCTCACCTACCTACAAACTACATCTTCTGCAATTTACTGGAAGCCATATTGCCCTTCTCAGGAGCCTCCTGAAAAACGTAAGGGAAGACCTTCATCACCTCCTCATTACAAACCCAGGGATCTCTTTTTGCTTCATTATAATATATTCACTACATCATGGACAGGAAGTTGAAGATTCACTTCCAAACACATCCCAGGAAATGGCTTATCCAACTCGTGAAACCTCTAGTCAATAACACAAGAAAAACAGGTTTCTAGGTAACTAAGGATAGTGAGGAGGAAAGTTCAGTCCCCTGAAAGCAACAAGCACATTGCTGAGAATGCACAAGGCTGTTAGCGTGGTGGGAGATTGGGGTGTCTTGTCAGAACAAAGATAAGTACCATAGTTGATGAAAATTACCTCTGAACTTCAGCAGAATTCATTCCAGCCATCATACAAACCAAAAGTGTGTTAACTATTGACATGTCAGGCTGGAGATACAAGAACCAGGGTTCCCCAGGGGAACCCTCAGACACAAGAGCAAAAACTCCCATGAAGAATGATGGGCCATCCCTGCATTAAAGTTTGAAGAAAGATGAATGGCTATTGAGAGGCCACACACAGATATGCAATAGCATTTACAGAAAATCAAATGTGTCATAGTCATAGGGATAGTATGTAGTGTGTCAGTGCTGTTGTACTTCACCTAGAGCTACATGAAAGCCAAATTCCTTGATCTGGAGCCTCCTGTGACAATGTGCATGCCTTTAGGAAAGGGGACACAGCCAGCTTAAATTACAATATGCATCGGAGCATGAGAGAGGCTGGCAAAGGGCACACGAGGACAGATTATTAGGGGACCTTTACCATAGACCTTTCCCAGAGCCACACTTCACACTTTTGAATTTACTGATAGTCCTAAAATGAAGAGCTAGCACCATGTTCAGGTGGATTGAAAATTCACCAGAAGTCTAGACTGTGGCTTCAGAAGTGTACTTGGTAGACCCCAGAAAAATGAGTGATGTGGGGTAAA